TATACCCACTCCCCTTTTTCGAATCTCTTTTCCAGTATAATATGCATGTAGAAGAATGATATAATTGAAAAGTATAATTACACGCACGTTTAATTTTAATGATATTAATCATATTAATATACTGAAATGCGTTTTAAAAGAAAAGAAAAGAAATGCAGTCGAAACACAATAGCTGAAAAGGTACAAGCCAAAAATATAATGCTTGAGAAAAACCCCACTTGGATTGTTATAAAAATTATAGCAAAAGAACGCGATAGAAAATCGAGTCAACGTTTAAGAGAAGATTAAAAAAAGCAAGGGAAAGAACTGTATTTCAGTCTCACTGACTATCTCAGCCTAGTTGTTTCCCTTGTTTAACAAACTATTTAAAATCTTTTTAAAATTATATTATTATATTACGGAATCTATGTTTAATAAACGATTATTACATTTATTAGTTATTCTGTCTTTATGAAACACTAAAACAAAAACAACAAAAAACGCGAGACTAAAAGTCAAGAACTTGTACCGAGTATACACAACTGCAGGATACCGCAGAGCCATCCTGTTCCAGTCCTACCCCCACTCCCTCCCCCCCTCCCTTTCCCCCTTTTCCACCCGTTTTAAAAACCAAACAAAAAAAACTAACACAATTGATCAACGACAACAACGCATCCCCAGCCTTTCCCAGCATAACATCAAGCTAGCACATACTATTACACGAAAAAAAAATTATAATAACCACAGACTCCAAACCAAAAATGCTTCAAAGATATCAACAACAACAACAATAATAATTAATCATGATCATAACAAATCACGCAACAAGTCTTATGGACTGTGTGTGAGACACCCTAAAAAAACAAAACCCTCTCAGCTGATATGAAGACGACACACACGCACACACGCTCTATCTAGATCTATCCCACGGGCTCTGAGTTGATGGAGACGAGATTCACGCCTGCTCCGTCATCTGCGATAACGTCACTTCCTCTCTTGACGTCACTGGAGTGACTGTTGCCCTGTTTGGAGCGGACTCCTGTCTTCATGTTGGTGCGGAGCTGCCGGAAAATGACGAGGATTTCTTCGATGGGGGCGACCACGAT